CTTGAGCTAGAAACTGCTAATCTAGTTTGCTTGGCCTAACCAATACTTGTTTATCTGCACATCCTTTCACCTTATGGTTTTGCTGCTCTCATTAAGCCATCATTAATTTGAATGACAAAAAACTAAAAATGGTTCACTTTTACTCTTAGGTGAAACTGCAGTAAAAATGTTTGACTCATAGCTCGCATGACTTTTTGCATAGGCATGTAGCAAAAGTTTTCATGAAATTTGAGCAGATTTTGTTGAGTAACTTTGCACATGTGGCTTATATTTACACCTAATGAAACTCTTAATTGTAGGTTGAAAAGATCTATCAGTGTACCAAATTTGAAAAAATTCATAAAAGTTAAGTACGTTTTTCTATCAAATAAAGTGCGAAGAAAAAACAAAGGAAGTAACTCAATCAAAATTGAAGATGTTATATCTCAGTTATTTCTTAATGGATTGCCTTGAAATTTGGTATATCAAGTAAAAGTCTAGTATGGAACATCCACTAAAATATATGATAGTTTGCATTACCATAGTCCAAGCTAAAGAAGGTGGAAAAATCGCTAAATTCTCACTGCTGTTAATAACACACAGTGTGTCCTGCAGCAGGTTGTTTTGACTGCACAACACACTGCCATGGGTCTTGATTTGTACATTTATATTTTGTTTTTTACATTCATTAATCATCCTAAGATTGGAAAATAATTAACACGAGAAGAGGTTTTTTGTTATTGTTTTTATTTCATCCTTTCCTGATAATTGAAGTACAGTCACTTTCTAAGATGTATTTGCTCATCATTTTGTTCTTCCTCAAAGTACCGTTTAGTATAAGTTTTGTGTATTTTGTATGAGTTAAATAAACTACTTCTTGTAGTGACAAATAGTATCTGTTATTTAAGGACAGTTTCTAACAAAAATATTAACAAAATTATTAATAAATTTTAGAAATGGTATTTCCAAAACACAAAATATCATCATGGTCTATGGATATATTTTTAGTTATTTTGTATAACACAAAAATCTACTAGAAGTGTTTTATTGAAACATTCCATTGGAGGTTAACATTAAACATTTAAGTTTATGTAGATACAAATACAAAGTTTTGTGTAAAACAATAAATATAAATTTGTGTCAGCTTAAGAAAATTAATGGTAAAAGATGTGAAAGCAGTACATCAAGAATTTGGATGTCATTGCACACTTATAAAATGTAAAAAAAAAATCCATATTTTAACCTACATAACCATTCTTAGATATTAGTCACTGAAAATTACAAAATTACCCTCTACAAATATGTTAGATAAAAGTCATTTCTTGTTGACAGTTCTTTATTGATATTAAGAAGTGGAATATTTCTAAAAATTAGATTTTTATCGTTTTAGGGTAGTAGCATCAATGGAATCATACAACCCTAACATTAATGCTTGGGAGGTAGAAAGACCAATGGGTTCTGTAAGGATGGGAATGGCTGTTGTAAATCACAATGATGTTTTGTGGGTTCTGGGAGGTATGAGTTCTCTTCCTTCAAAACAAAAAACTCCTCCAGTGTTGGACAGTGTCTTATGTTTTGAAATATCAAGTAAAGGGTGAGTTAGAAGTGATAGTATGTTACAATAAATATGCTAAATGTTTCATAATGTATCTGTTATTTATACAGTTGCTTAAAATATCTTATATTTTCACAAAAAAATTAAAGAATGTAAATGCAAAAACCTTGAAATTCATGATTGAATTAGTTGTATCACAAAATATTTCTGTAGATGCAAGCTTAATATCATTCACAACATTATTAACCAGAATCAGTGTTGTTAGTATTAAAGTACTATGTGTAACATCTCAGCTACATCATTAGGACAGCAAATGGAATCATACATTTAAAGCACAACAGATTGCAATATGCTTTTACTTTTTTTACAATTACCTACCATCTTGCAGTTGGATACATATTCGTATTTTAAAGTTTTGTACCCCAAAATTCCATCACCTCCAAGTATTCATATTTCTCCCTCAAAAGAATCCAAGTGCAGCCAGTAACTTTTAGATAGATTGGAAATCCCATTGCTCATCAATTAATAGCAAGAACAGAGCAATAAAACCATAGTCTTTTTGGTATTCTACATATGACTGCTATTTAACCACAAAATATTAAATCTCCAATCATTTTATTAGTTAAAAACAAAACTACAGCATAAACTAACCAGGATTGAACAAAATAGTAACTATTAAGTACATTGTAAAAAAAATGTAGTAAATTCAGTATTGCTGATAAGGTCAAATAAAATATTAGAAGTAAGAGTCTTCACTTTGCAGAAATGCATTGATAAAGTTTATACTTAGGAATCTATTCTACATACAGTTTAAATGTGACCTTAACATTTTTCTAAACACATTGTTTAATGGATTCATCAGATGGTAATCAAAGTTTAATGATGAATAATAATATGACTGCAACAAAAACAGACATTTAATTCTTGAATGTTTTGGAATATATGTATTCCATCTTCCACAAGCTATATTAAACAAGGTAAAATGTTAGATACAAAGAATTCTAAAGTTCCAACATTTTATAAAGATCATTAAAAATGCACAGTTAAAAGATGCGGTTAATTAAAAAAAAGAATAGGATTGGTATAAAGTGCAATAATTGTAACAATATTATGTTTTTATGTGAAATTATACAGGTTATTCAAAACATACTTAATTCTAGCAAAGTTGTGTTATTCAGAGTTAGAAATTCATTTATAATGGCTAAACTTTCATTAGTTATAAGTTTAATGTTTGATGGTCCAGTTGAGATGACTTTGAAATGTTTAATCAAGATGAGGTGGTTACTGTTTTTTATTTTGTATGCAAACTGTGAAGTCCAAATCATCTGACAGTTGTTTTCAAGTTCTGATTGATGCAAATGTAACTGGCATATTGTTTTGCCAATATATGTGGGATTACAGCCACCACATGTATATTTATACATGATTCAGTAATTTGATGCAAATGTAATTGGCATATTGTTTTGCCAATTCATGTGGGATCACAGCCACCACATATATATTTATACATGATTCAGTAACACATAGGATTAGGTAATAGCTCTTTAGACCTGAATAGATTTTGAATTTTTAAAGGTGATTAAAATATCATTTGTAGTTTACCCTGTGGATAAAAAGTTTTGATTATTCTTACAATTTATGACTTTACTAAGAAACTTTGTTCACATAAGAAGGGAATGACCAGTCTTAATTAGTATATGTCTACAGTATATAGTTTCTTTGGGGGTTCAGTTTTCAATGCACATCTTTGATATCTATATGATGTTGGGCAATGTTAGTTTTCCCAGCCTGCCTATTGGTGTAACAAATACAATGATGATTTCTCTCGGAAGATCTCTAGTTTTTCTCTCATTTTGAACTCAAACTGGTTTGTACAGTTTTTGTCAGCAATATCAGATGTGCTAGCAATAATATATTTATCAGTCAGTGTGTGCTAGTTTCCACGACTTCTCCTTCATGCAACAAGGATCATTTCATCCTATATTTCTGTTGCTTGTTTTTTACCATATTTATAAAGAATAACTGAAATATATCTTGCTATTGAAGAAATAATTATCCTATCAAGCATAACTTGGCTTTTTAAAAAGAAATCAGTGTTTCTACCTCCTTGGAAAATTTAGACTGCTTCATTTATCTATACAGATCACATGCAATGCCAACCAAAGTAGGGATTGAAAATCGTTTTAAAATCTATCCAACTGGTATTACTTTAATTGTTTGTATACTTTTTATTGCATTTATTTTGTTTTTGATACTTATAGCAATTCTACAAATAACCAACAATCCCTACTTTCCATTGAAATTTTAATTTTTTTCCCTATTTATTTGTTCAGTTTTTATATGTCCATGGAATGAACACAACATCTATAAACTTTCCGTATAGCCATATCCCAGATAGCTATAACTTTTACAAAAAATAAAACCACACTCACAAATTTATAAAATTTAATCCTTTGGCCTACAGATAAGTGTATAAAGCTGCCAAAGTAGGGATTAAATTTTATAAACTTGTGATTATGGTTTTAATTCTTGTTTCATTAGTTTTTGTAGTAAGATCCGTACTTCATTTTAAAATTCATAAATTTATGATACTCTTGTTTGTTTACTTTTGATATTATATCCATATAACGTATATACTTTACCTTTAGAAACTGTCATGTGTCTATCCATCGATATGTAGCTTAATCTGTTGAGTTGAAAAGATTTAAGTATGTGCATGATATTGTTGCGTCAGCGAGGTCACGTGACTAGTGTCACGCCACCTCTCGAACCTTCGAGAAAAAGTCGGGAGATTACCAGATATAGGGTAGTCTGGTATATATATAAGAGGGTGACAACATGACGGAATAATGTGTGTGTAGAC